ATGGGAAACAGGGAAACTCTTGCTCTTAGAAGCAGTCTGTCTGAATTGAAACTTTGATAGTTTTGTGTGTGTTTTTTTTCAACTCAGTAGTCCTGCATTTGCCCTTTTACAATAACTATTCTTTGATGTCCACATACTGCTTCATTAAATATTTCAAAGCACCTAATGTACTTCTTATTTGGGTATTCTACAGCTAAATATTTCTCTCAGTTTGAGTTTGGCCATCCTTCCCTAACAATGTTGAAAGCCACAGTAATTATCTGCTTTGGAAAGTGTGTAGGGTATCTGTGTTGGACTATTTTCATTATCCTTGTCATATCAAAGCAAGGCTTTAAAAAAAAAAAAAACTGGAAATATATTGGGAATAAAACATCTAACTAGTATTGGCAAAATTATAAGAAAACAATATAAAAGAAAAAATCTTAACTGTAGGCAAAGAGCAGAAAATATATTATCATCAAAAGAACTACACTAAGATCTCTTCTCAACAAGAAGAGAAATCAGAAGACAGTGAAAGGTTATCTTTCATAATAAAAAATATAACTGCCAACCTAAAATTTTTATATCCAGTTAAAGTATCATTTCAGAATGAAGGTAAAATAAAGAAAATAATGAAGAACTGCATATTTTTTAAAAGGCAATTATTTACACGGGCAGATAAGAAAGGGAAATTTCTTACACAGAAAAAACAAAAATAAGCCACATAATGGGTCAACAGGACTTGACAATGAGCAAAATATAGTCAATAGCCAAACAGTTTGCACTTTGTGGTCTAGCTTCTATGAGTAGGTCCCCTGGATGTTATCAGGGAGAATTCATATTTACCCATCAAGTATCAAAAGATTAGAGGAGGGACAAATAAATTATGTAAGAAAGAAGATTTTACTTAAATGCCCAAGTTAGTTTCTTTTTCTCTGAAAACTGGGAAGGCAGGATTGAAATATTATAGTTGTATTTAGTGTTCTGTCTCAGGGCCCAAAGGTAGGTCTGACAAGAGTAACCTCACCCAGAGAGATTAGTCATGCACCTTGTTATAAAGATGTCAAAGGGGAAATGAGGGAAATCAGGCTATATTCCCCTGGTGGAGGGGGAAAAAAAAGAGCCAGCATAATGAAATGTTCTTTGGCTATAAATGAAAATGCCTTAAAACTTCCTGGCATTCTCTCTTGCTAATGAGCTAAATTAAAACAGATAACTTGTGTTTTAAGAAGCATCAAAGACAAATTAAATGTCAGAGGAGAAGTAAATTATATATTTATCGACTGTTTTATGAAGTTATGCAGACTGTTCATTAAAAAGTCCCTTCAAAAGATGATTCTTCTTGTAACCAGGGCCTGTAGCTGTAAAGTAATCAATTTATAATGGAATATTCACAGCAGATTCAGAGCAACTCCTGATTAACGATGTTTCACCATGTTAGGATAAATCTTTTTGAAATGTAAAGAATGAAGGTAGAATGTCCTTTTTATAATGAATCAACTCAGAGTCTAGCACAACCACAAAAAGTATGGTTTCTTTCCACTGGTATTTGGGTTCTTGAGTTGTTCCTACCACCTTTCATACACATAAACCCTTTACTATTACTGTCTTTGGCAAACTTAGGTATGAAAATCCCAAGGAAACCCATTATGTCACTGAGTTGAAAGACTGTATCCATCTTTAGAACTCTGCAGCTATAAATTTCATAAAAAGATGCATCTTGAACAAAACTAAAAACAGCATATACTCAGGGACTGAATCCAATATTTCACTGCTAGGGAACAGGCAGCTGGACATCTCTCCATAATTTAGAACTCTACTGAAAAAGAGCTGAGTATTCTCTTTTAAGAGAATTTGTAACTTAATACATTTCAGTGGACAGGAATGCATAATGCAATTTTATGTCAAACTGGAAGCCAAATATGTATCTCTTGTATATTTTATCTCTAGTGATCATCACCTTCCATTTTCTACAATATCCTCAAAAGTACATACAAAAGAAATAGACTCGTTGAGTCTCAGTTTTTAATGGGAAATAAAACATTATACATATGACAAAGTCCTGGTGCATGTCACAAAACGGAACATTCTAAAATAAACTTTCACATTGTGGCTGGCCAAGTTTGGTCTCCCACCAAATAGGGACCAGAAGAACAGAAGTTCTTGGTCCACGTGGACATGAAATGGTTTTGATTGAAGAGCACCGTTCTATTGCAGGATGACTAAAATGTTGGGAACTTGAGTTGATCTTTCAGATCATAAGTGCATGGTTGAGTGAAATGTCAGAAAGTTACACTTTGGATTAATATTCATATGAATCTTGCTCTAAATCAAGCCAAATTCTTTGCCACTTTAAAACTGATATTTTTCTGCATTGGCTTTTCAAATTTCTCTTGTTAAACATTTATTCTTTTATTTTTATTATTTTATTTTTTTACTTTTAAAGGAGTGGTTTGGTTACCAAAGACTTGGAAATTTATACAGCTTGTGGTTGAGGTCCAGGAAAGCTCAGAAAGTTATAGGAAAAATTAGGAATGTAAAAAGAACTTCTTCCCTGTTCAGGTGGAAGTTAGCAACATAGAACACATTATTCCATTAGTTTAAAAAGTGGATTAAGAAGAAGTAAGTTCATAATATTTGTCAATAAGGTGAAAGAAACTGACAAATGGGAAGAAACACGATGTCATGTAGCAAAATATTAGCCATTATTGTTTTCTATTTAGGAAATTGCTTATGCTATCTGTAATTTACTTGAAGGAGGAATTCTATTCCCCTCAGCAACCTCTGGCAAAATTCAGCATGCTTTCCTCTTAATAGAAAGGTTGCAATTACTTTAATATTACTACTATAGTATCAACTCAATTTCCTTGCACAACACTGAGTGATGGAACTGTTCATACATTTTAAGATGTCAGAAAACCATTCAGCCTTCACATCTTCTTGACTGAATGGAACTGACTCAGTTGTAGATACAGTTGGTCAGGTTCATTTTCTTGAGTTGCTCCATTTTCTTTTGTTTCCCCTTTTGTTGATTTCTTTCATATCTATGTCAAGCCAATACTGAACATGAAGAAGGATTATCTCAAAGTCAGTGCTATTCTATTCTGGTCAACACCCAATTATGAGTGTGGCTGGCTGCTATACTAGGCTGGTCTTACATTTGCTGTCCTGTGCTTTGATCTTTCTCCACATGACCTACCTTGACTTTTACTCCAGTATTAATTATTGCTCCTTCTTGTCACGGTCATTTTCCTTTATTAGCTTATTGTATTCTACAATATTAATAGTCATCATTCTTATTTTATTATCAAAATCATGGTTCCAAAGCACAACATTTTTAAGCCCTGAAGAGAACCTCTCACTAAATGCTGTAGTTTGACATGGAACCAACCATCGTCAAGGGCAACCTTCAAACTAGACAGAGTAAGACGGTCATAAGAACAACCTCCTGGATGGAAAGCAAAGAGGAATCATATTGGTCGCTATTTACAGTAAAAAGAAAAAAAAACAGGCAATAGAACTACTAAAAATTCATAGAAATACTTCAGATCTTTTTCCAAGGGGTCAAAAAAAGAAATTTAAAAATTGCTACAAATATGATAATAGTATATTATACATTTTATCTATGAGTAAAGTTGCTAACATGTTTGGACCAAAACCAAGACAAACCAAAATAAAACTCTGTGGGAATAACAATATTTTCCAAGAGAGATTTTTTTTAGATACACTTATGAGGTATCAACCATAAGTGAAGGGCATTATGTCAGTGTACAAAGTAATGACAAATATGAATTCAGACAGCATGGATCGAAAATGTATGTATTTGAATATATCATCTGGAATTTATCACTGTGAAGGTGTTTCTTAATTTTCTGTTGAACCTGGATCTTTTGCTCCAAATATATGGGCATTTTTAAAGACCAATCCTAAATGAAAATAGTGATGTCTAAAATTTATTCTATTTTACTAATGCATAATAAATGTGAAAGGGTGGTCAAGAATATTTAAATTATTGATTAATAAAAAAGCATAAAAATTAGCAGCATATTTCAGTAATTATTAATTCTTGGATTTTCATTATTGCTTGAGAATCTATATTGTCCAACCTAAAACTTTAGGAGTCACACATATTAAATCAATGTCATAGCTAATAAAAATAAAGAGAGAAGCAGAAATAAGCACAAAAATTATTTAGAATCAGCCACAAGAAATCTATAAAAAGTAAATTAGTGAATGGACTATATAATGAAACAAAACTAACATTTTTCAGCTTTACAGGTTTAAAAAGTACTTTAATGAAATACCAGTACCTTTTAGAATAGATATTTTAAGCTGTAGATTGAAGAACAGAATAACTGAAAAGTACATTTTTCATGAAGAGAAAAATATTGCTTGATGATCAAAACAGATGAATATTCTAAAGCTGAGATACTTTTCTCCTAAAATATTTGATTTATAAATATTCAGTTTGCTTTGTAAAACATTGGTTTTGACCAAATAATAACCACAGGTAATTTTAAAGTGGAGCACCAATAAACTGTTGTTATAGGGAAAAGGAAGATTTATTTTTTTCTGGTTTATGATAATGTTTTGTTAGGTGAAAACCAGGATGCTATTTTTATAGGTACCCTCTGCTGGACAGAGTCTGCCATTACAATATCAGTTATTTAAAGTTAAAGAGATTTAGCTAATTCATTTTTTTTAATTCTATCTTGGCAGGGGAGAGGGCCAGAGTCCTTTAAAAATACTTATGTCTCAACCACAACCCAGACCAATTAAAAGCCATGCTCCAGAGCTGGATTCCTTGCATTTGCAGTTTTTAAACATCACACGGTGATGATAAAGACTTAGTGAATATCGCCGTAAAGATTTTTTACCATCATTGAAAAAGATACATATATTTTCCATGCAAGATGTGACCCAAGATTGTGTGCAAGATACATGAGTGAGGGAGGTCTTATTCTAATGGAATGGAGAGAGAATGAAATTACTGAGTGATGATGCTATTCAGTTCAGTTTACCTTGGGCTTTTCGTCCAGGATCTGCTGACGTATCTCCTTATGTTTCTCTACTAGTTTTTCTTGCCGTTTACTTTGTGCCTCTTCTAACTATAAGAAAGTTACAAAGAAAGTCATTCTCACATAAAAGTTCAAGTGAATGTTTTCAGAAAAATATTAAAAATTACATACATTGAATTACTTCATTCCCTGGTCAAGAACTGCCCTTACAGGTGTAGGAGACTGTTGGTAAGCATTGAAGGCACACAGGAATGAGGGTGGAGTGATCAAATTATACTATCCTTACATTTTTCTCAATATTTGAAAATTTTCATAGTAACATTTTTTAAAAATGTATAATGGCTGCTGGAGCTTGTCATCTTCTCTACCACTGGTTACAACTAAGGATTCCTTGGGGGAATCTCCCATTTACATCATGTTTCTGGGCTCCTGACCTGGAAGTGATTCTTCACATTTGTCTTTACACAACCTTTTTGTACACAGGTTGGCAATTAAGCTTGAAGGAACATTGACTAGGGAGCCTGCGCTGTGAAGAGTGGTGAAAAAATGCAACAAGGCATGCTATTTCCCTACAGAGGCTCATACTGTGCATGTCAAACATTCACACATAGTTTGCAAAGGAGAGAGGCATCAGCCCCGTTAAAAAGAACCAATGGGCTCAAACTGGAGTCACTTTTGCTATGCCCCTCTAAGAATGAATACTAACCTAACTGCAGTTTCAGCCTCTCCCAGTCTGTCTGGAATTTCAACCTTAGCGATGTCATCTGCCTGATAAAGCCCCCTGCCTTCCCCTGAGCAAAGGCGGCCTTGCCTGTAATAACATCCTTGTCCCACTATCTCTCCACCTATAAGCCTTCTTCTTTGTACAGCTGCTCAGAGGAACTCTCTGTTTACTAACTGGGATGCTGCCTGGTTCATGAACTGTGAGAACCAATTAGACCTTTAAATCTACTCGATTGAATGTTTGTTCTTTAACAACCAACATACCCTCTTGATGTTCTGCACCACCTCCTGGATATATAACCGGATCATCTCTGTCTTTTCCCTAAAATAAAAGGACAAACAAATCCATTATATGAGCACATCCAACATCAGAAAACAGGAGACTCTTGGTCTCCCCCATGAAAATTTATAGAATTCTCTTTATTCTTATTTCTGCTTCCAGGAAGGCACAATGCACCAACTCTGGACAAAGGTCAGGTCCTCCCCAAGGGTAGACTTTGTTTTCACTCAATGCTGGGAAGACTGCCTGATATTATTAGAAGTGAGTATTCAACCTTTTCCTAAGGGGACACCCTTTACTCAGCCTTTATCTTCAAGGTCCTTTTCTGAACTGCTCTCTTGAGTTTCTGGTTGAAAACCTTAGAGAAGATCTTTTGAAAGGTTAATTAGAAGAGGAATTTCACAGATGGGTCTTCATGGTTAAGAATAAAATAATCCACAGGTAAAAGGTGGGGAAGGAGGGTTCTTTCTCCTTACTCTTCCATCTGGCTTTTGTCTTTGGATTTAGCTTCTGTTATCTTCTCCTGTCTCTTTTTATCCATTTTCTTCTTTAATTCCTTCTTCTCTCTGAAGTAAAAATGGAAGTAAAAGGGAACGAAGACAAATGAAATGGCAGTTTGTATTGGATACATTTATATACACAAGTCCATTATAATGAGGATGAAGGCTTACTTCTCACAGATTTCTTTGAGCTTCTTTAACTGATTGTTCTGACATTCTTCAGCAACATCCGTCAATTTTTGGATAAGCTGAGGAAAGAAAATGCCAGTTTGCTATTTTATGTTACCATAAACAATGCACCCTCTCCCTCAAACAATAGTATCTGTAGTTAAAAATCTATCATTGATACTTAACAATAGTTAGAATTATCAAACATCTATGATAGGTAATGAGGACATATTTAAAACCATCTTATTATCTTGGTTTGAATACAACATTCTTCTTCTTATCTCTTTTAAAATATGTATATATTTTATTTATTTTAGAGAGGAAGGGGGAGGGAGAGAGTGATAGAAACATCAATGATGAAAGAGAATCATTGATCAGCTGCCTTCTGCACAACCCCCACTGTGGATCAAGCCCAAAACCCAGGCATGTACCTTGACCAGGAATCGAACTGTGACCTCCTGGTTCATAGGTTGATGCTCAACCATTGAGCCATGCAGGCCAGGCTTCTTATCTCTTTTTAATTAAACAGGATTCCTTAGGTTACTGTGCTGGTTTCTGTAGCTTGACCCAGTGCAAAGACAACAAACAGTGAGGACTCAGATTCCAATCCCCACTTTATGTGTGATCTATTAAAAGGATGATTTGGCCAAGAAAAGCTGTTTTCTTGGGTGTAAATGAAATTATGCAAGCTTTTATCTTTTGTAGGTACTGTGAAGCTAGCTTAAAATAAAATGAATATAATACAAATGAGAGTTATAATTAACTGTGAATTATGAATCTAGGTTTCCAGGTATTATTCATTGTTTAATTGCTTCATAGATAATATGAGTTACCCATCTTAGAAATCGATGGTTTTGTCCTTGTGTGGGTGACTTCCAAAGAACATAATAAATTCTCTTTTGTGTTATCACAGAATTTTTAATACATTACCATGAAAGTAATTATTGTATTGCCTTGAATGTATTTTTCTTATCAAATCAAGTTTGGAGAGAACAGCGACTGTGCTTTCATATCCTCAGCCCTGTACACAATTCCGAGCATTCAGTAGTTGCTCAATAAAAACTTGCCAATTATGTGAACATCATTTTATCTTCCAATCTCTTCTCTGTCTTTACTCCATACTAGTGGGGTCCCTCGGCCTGGCCTGCGGGATCGGAATAAAACCAGCTTTCCAACATCTCCCAAGGGGTCCCTGATTGCAAGAAGGTGCAGGCCAGGCTGGGGAATCCCACCCATGCACCATCGGGCAGGGGAGGGACCAAAGGAGGGTTCCAAGGCATGTCTGGCCCATCTTTCTCAGACCTGATCGGCCAGACACCAGTAGCAAGCTGACTTACCAGTCAGAGTGTCTGCCCCCTGGTGATCATAGCAACTGGTGGACTGCTCTACTGTCTGCCCCCTGGTGGTCAGTGCATGCCATAGTGAGCAGTTAAGCAGACTTAGCTATCATTAGCATATTACACTTTGGTTGAATGGATGAACAGATGACTGGACACTTAGCATATTAGGTGCCAAGAACCAATCCTAGCAAGAGTTTTACCAAAAGGTTGGTGAAGCTTGGGGAGCCAAGAACCAATCCTAGCAAGAGTTTTACCAAAAGGTTGGTGAAGCTTGGGGAGCCAAGAACCAATCCTAGCAAGAGTTTTACCAAAAGGTTGGTGAAGCTTGGGGAGCCAAGAACCAATCCTAGCAAGAGTTTTACCAAAAGGTTGGTGAAGCTTGGGGAGCTCAACAAGGTTGAGTTACGTGTAGTTTACCTGTTGGCTACAAAGCATCTCCCCCAAACCTGAATAGGATGATTGTTAACTGCCAGATAACTCAGGGCATTTTATTGCCTCCTGTTGGCCAAACACTTGAACAGTTGTAGGCTATTCCCCAAACTAACAATCTCTGTAAACCCTTTGATACTATACCCTTTGAAGTGTGTATTTCCACCTTGTTTTGGGACAAATTGTGTTTAATAAAAGCACAGGTCCTTGGCCAAGGAGGAGAGTCTTTTAGCTCCTTCAGCTGGAAACTCCTCTGACCCCCAATGCCTATCAAAAATATCTTTTGTTCATGGGCTCCATATAGGATGAATACCATAAACAACTTCTGCCATTGCTCACACACAGTAGCAACTGGACCCAACCCTTCTTACTGGAGACCAAATAGATTGTATGGTGTGAGAGACCATGGGTTTCCTGCAAAAGGCCCCACAGCTGTTCCCCAGAGCTGGAGTTCTCAGATGCAGCAGAGTGAGCTGACCCGTTTTATGTAAGCTACAGCTACAACAGTGACAAGGCAATATAATCACAATGCCAGTTCACTTTCATGGATAATGTATACAAGCTGTGAACAGTTTGAAGAGTTTTAAATGCAGTAACTTATTCAATTCTAAAAGTTGACCTATTGGCAAGAAGTTTATGTTATTATCTTCCTTTTAAATACGAAAACATGGACCCCAGGTTCTCAAGTGTCTGGTTTAGGGCCAAAGAGGTAGTAAGCCATAGAGCTGAGAACAAACCCAGACAATCAGGCTGTAGCCTTCACCACTTTCCCACACCGTCTTTTCATTCTGACAATAGAAATTGTTTTAAATTCCCCCTTCTTATCTAAGAGAATACAAGAAGTCAAGGGAGAAAGTCTCTTATAGGATTACAATAAAAATTTTTCTTAGCTTAACATGAAACATCCATCTGTGAAGTGGATTAAGTCTGAACAATTACTCACTGGGGCTTGGGCCAGCAGAAAACCTATTTGATCATCCAGAAGACACTGTCGGATCATGACTGTCACGATTAAAGATATAGCGAAATATTGCAGTGCTGTGGTGTCATTTATCCAGTTGTCTATTAAATTGTTATGCAAAGACTCTGGAAACTTCCTTGAGGATTCCTGTAAAGCTGCTCTTCTAGCTGAGGGTGAATACTCAGCACATCTCCTTTCCCGGGGACCTTTCTTGTCTCCCATTCTCCCCAAGAAGTTACAGAGCATCATCTAGGGATCCCCAGCCATAGCTACAACATCAGAAAACTTGGGCAACTTCTTAAAAATATAGATTCCAGAGCCTGTTCCTAGGCTTTTGGACTCCAAATGTCTTGGAGGATGAAGAAATGTTTTCAAAATGTCCTCTGATGACTTGGATACTTTGCCAGATTTGGGAGGTTTTGGTGCCCCTGTCCACATGCTACAGACTGTTGCATAGCTCTCAGCAATGCTTTTGAATTCTGTGGTTTCAGACTTCTGTTCCCATGTTGTCATGTCTATCATTCAGTTGACTCCAATGTATTCTGTTTTGTTGATTCTTCCAGCGCCTGCTCACATTCCCTTCCACCTCTTACCACAACAACATTGGCGACCAGTCACCACAACCACTGAGCTTGAGATCTCACAGCCCACTGCCCACTCAGTTCAGCCTTTTATTTTGATTCGGTTTTAGCCCCCACACAACTGCCAGCACCACACCCCCTCAAGGCTCCACAGCAGCTCCCCGGGTATCACTTGGCCTTCCTCTTTGCCCCTCCCTCAGATAATCACACTGCTCTTTGCTCTTCTCAGAACTAGTTCCCACTTCTCTTGCTCCCAGAACACACACTTTTGTCTAAACTATTCAATTGAGCCACAATCCAACATTTACCAAGGGCTCACTAAAACCCAGGTACCATCCTAGAAACTGTAAGGCAATGTCCTGGCTTTCTAGGTCTTGCTACTCAAACTGTGCTCCATGGACTAGCAGCACTGGAGTTGCCAGTGGTCACATTAGAAATGCAAATTCTCAGGCTCTCCCCAGCTCAACTTGAAATTAAAATATGTATTTTAACAAAATTCCCAGGAAATACTGTGCAAGTTACATGTTGAGAAGTACTGTCTAGATTATTGAGGACAATGGAGATGATCTAGAAGAAGCCCTCTGTTATGGACTGAATGCTGGTGTCTCCCACTCTCACTTTCATATTGAAATCCTAACCTCCAATGTAATGGTATTGGAGATGGGGACTTTGGGCGGAAATTAGGTCATGAAGGTGGAGCCCTCATGAATGGGATTAGCATTCTTATAAAAGAGACCTTGGAGAGCTCCCTAGCCCCTTCAACCATGTGAGCACACTGTGAGGAGACAGCCATCTATGAACCAGGAAGTGGCTGTCACAAGACAGCAAATGTGCAGGTGCCTTAATCTTGGCGACTTTCAGCCTTCAGAACTGTGAGGAATAATTCTCTGTTGTTTAAGCCCAAATTAAGGTGATTTAACAGCCCAAATTAAGACACCCTTCTTAAGTCCCTCTTCTCTGCCTCAAAAAGTCTTTGGAATTTGACTTTCATTCTTTTCATTGCCCCAAAGTGAGCTTCCTCACTTTTGACACAGAGATATGGGGTCGCTGTGAAAACTGAGAGGGAAAACACACATGCAAGCCCAATAGACTACACGTCGGTTCTCAGCTTGGTTTCCTTACCCTTCCTTCCAAGAGAAAGATTCTTGCCTATATTTTCCATCCTGTCTTTTCCCACCTGTGGCAAGACCTAATCTGCCATTTCATTTTCTCCTCTCAACCTTTCTTCTGCACCAGACACATTCCCTTTGCATTAAAACACAATATTTCCCCTCATCCTCCCAGAATCCTGAAATTTTGTTCCACATCTGAACTTCCTTTCATTTCTAGCCCTAAAACAGAAGACTAATTGCTGCTTCCAAAGCTTCAATACTCCACGCCATGCTCTGCAATCCCACCATTTCACTCCAGCCTCTAGAATTCACCTGGTACTGCTTGAAGATTACAAAAACTTTTCCTTTACTAACTTATTGGCCCTTTCTGGGACTTAGTCTAACATGTGTTTCTGTCAATTACAAACAAGAGAACTCTGACCAAAAACAGAAATAAAAAATTTCACTACTTAACCCCCAAATAGAGTGGAGGAACCCTTGAGTTTGGTACTCAGAGTTTCTATTGCATGAAATGTGAAAATGGAATGCAGAAGAGTAATTTTTCATACAACAGCTAAAATGTTTTTAACTAACTTAGGAGTACTCTCACTTTTGCTGTATTTATTAACAGACAGGCTCTACTCAAAGAATCTGTCAATCACATGTTAGCCAAAAAGC